AACCCTTCATTTCTGTGCTGAGTTATGTAGGTTGCACGAGCTGAAAAGCACAACAGCCAATTCTTGCTGTGGGGTTTTGTAGAACTCTGAAACCATAGGAGAGTACACTTCAAGGGGGAAGTAAGTGCAGGCAATGTTCTCGAGAGACTAAGATAAAGGTCAAGGAACAGTAACAATTGGAATGCTGATGTTTTTGCAGAATAGATTAAGTACAGTCCAGGCATAGCCAGTTTTGTTCACTAAGTCTGTTCTAAATGCAGAGTTTGCCTTAGTGAGGACAGAGGTGTTCCTACCATACCCATATATTTTGGCCCCGTATCATCTGGAAAGATAGTGTGCTATGTTGTCTGTCAGCGTGGAAAGGGGCTTCACTCAGAGGGCAGGGTTTCAGTTCCAGTGTGGATCTGGTAGGTACCTTAATGCTTTATAGCCTGGTATTTTAAGGTTTAACCATACATGTGCTTGATGTTCTGGAAGGGTACAAGACATGGCTGGTCACTCTTAACTGTGAATTAACCAATTTTTTTTTAAACAGTGAATTCAAAAGTGAAAGTGGTGCTAGTCGTAAAGGTGCACAAAGTCTTCCTGGAAACACCTTGCTGCCACTAAGCCATGGGGCCATGATTCCTGGGGTTTGTGACTTTGCAAAGGGAATAAGGAAGGAGGCTGTTAGCTTGTTAAGTGGGGAGGTTGTTGCTCTGTGTGGCTTTGCAGAGAGCAGAAGAGGACACCAGAGAGGTTTGTTGGGGAAACTTTGCTAACTCCAAAGATGACCAGGAGCACTCAAGACTCACCCTTGGACTGGAACTTTGCCCAGGACTCCTGAACATTGCTTGGTGGGGCCTTGTGTTAAATGCAACCCTGTTTTACTGCTCCCCATCATCTCCCCTCTCCCTCACCCCCGTTGTTTTTCTCCTTTCATCCCTCTAAACAAATATTTCCCTTTTCTATATTCATTGTAGTCTTCCCATGGGTGTTTACTCTGGGGGGTGTTAGTACAGGTGCCCCTGTTGTGGAAGGGACGGTCATTGCTGTGTTCCTGCGCATGCCTTTTCTTGGCTAGAGGTGTCTGCAGAGTAGACTCCATCTGGACCACAAGGGTGCTAAAGTTACATTTGTACCACAAGCTCTACCACAGCCCTTTATGTGACATCAATACACTGGCAGGTAATAGCACCAACACAAGCTTAAAGCAGGAGTTTCATTTTAAGAGGGGTGGAAAAAGCCTACAAAAATGATGCTTTAACCAAAGCAACAGAACTTAAAAAATATTCATTGTAATTTGTGCAGTGCTTGATTTTTTTATTAGTTTATGGGAGGGGGAATATTTGGAGTTTGATATGAATGTTTTAGAAGCCAGTAATGTGCACAAAACATTCTCAAGATGCTGTCATGGATAGGACTTGAACTCACAGTACATGGCTGCTGTTTGGGTTCAGTGGTCACAGGATGTCACCTTGAGCTGCCTACTTATTCTGATGTTTGCAAACACCCTGGCATGCAAGTAAAATTGGCTGGCTCTGTTGCAAATGTGCAAGTGATTTTCTCTGGTTCAGCAGTTTTGCTAGAGCCACATTGTAGATCCAACTTTTACTCTTAATACCTTTTGTCACAAAATGGTCCAGTACCACTCTCTGAACATGCATTTCCTCTGTTGCAAAGGGATCCAACCACTGAATCCCACCTGCTGCTAAGCTCACTGTTTCTGGGAAACGACTGATCTCTGCTCCTAGCTCTGGTTTGCTCCAGAGCATAGGCATGCGCACGGGGCGTGCCCAGGCACACCCTAATGCAGGGGTGGGTAAATGGCCCCACTCTCCCGGTGCGACAAGCCGCGGGGTCCGCGCTTCCGGGCCAGAGCGTCCGGCCAAGCACAGCAAGTCGCCGGCCCCTCCCCCGCCTTCCCTCCACCCCTGGAGCCATGTCACCACGCACACAGCGCTCTGGGGGCCGGGACTGCACGCTCCCACGGGGCAGTGTTTGGCTCCGCAGGGAGGGAGAAACGCTCCCCGCTCATCCGGAGCCATGCCGTCATGTGCGCAGCATTCTGAGGGATGGGGCTGCCCACTCCCACGGGGCAGCGTGTCTGGCTCTGCGCGGAGCCAAACATGCTGCTAGGAGCCTCATAGTAAGGGGGCCGGGGCAGATAAGGGGTGGGGGCAGTCAGGGAGGGTTGTCTCTGGAGGGAGTGGTCTGGGGACAAGTTGCTGGGGGAGGTTAGATGAGTCGGGAGTTCGGGCGAGACTGTCATGAGGCAGGGCGAGGAAGAGGGGTTGGGGCAGACAGGGAGGGTTGTATGGGTTGGGAGTTCTGGGGGTCCTGTCAGGGGGCGGGGAGCTGTTGGTTAGGCGTGGGAGTCCCAGAGGTCTGTCTGGGGGTAGGGAGCGGTTGGATAGGCGTGGGAGTCTCGGGGGTCTGTCTGGGGGTAGGGGTGTGGATAAGGGTCAGGGCAGTCAGGGGACAGGTAGGATCCTAGGGGGGCAGTCAGGGGACAAGGAGCAGGGAGGCTTAGATAGGGGGTGGGGTCCTGGGGGGCAGTTAGAGTCAGGGGTCCCAGGAGGGAGTGGATGGAGGCAGGGCGGGGCTCCCTGGGTGCACACCCTAATGAAATGTGCTGCACACGCCTATGCTCCAGAGCACTCAGGTGCTGATGCCAAGGTCTGACAACCTTCTCAAGTATTGGGACCATGTAGTCTGACTGCTTAGATCCTGAAGACAGTTCCTGGCCCTCTGAAGACTGTTGTTTTGACATATGTCCCCCCCACAGTCCAGTTGACTGCAGGAGCTCTGGTTATGTAGCTGCACCCTTCAAAAAGGGTATGGAAGTAAAAGTAAGGAAATACAGGCTTAGCAAATGAATTCCTTAAAAAAAACAACCCACACACACAGCTCAAAGGTGAGAGTGTTACAGATCTATGGAAAACAAACTCCTGAACGC